CGCCACAGTTATTAAATCATCTAACGACTACAGTAACAAATCAGCTAACTAGTATCAAAAGGGGATTAAAACAAAATGATTGAACAGGCATGAACTGAATTCTTTCAATTTAAGCAATACTAAACAAAAATAACCTGATACAATAGATAATGTTAAGCATATGAAATGAGCACCTTGACATCTTTGAGAAGCCTTCAATACTATTGCCTTACCTTACGATTACCTTTCTTGATAGGAGTAGTAATCTTTTTTGTAGGTTTTTTCTGATTTTCATCATCATTCCTCTCAAGGTCTTCGCATTCATCATCTTCTACTTCCTTGATAGCCATATTTGGACATCTAACATTGAGAAAGATGAGCAGTGTTGATTACACCAGCGTTTACATAAACTAGATATACAAGATATAGATTGTTATATGAAAATCTTAGTATATGTACACTGATATAAGGGAAGTAGTTAAAAATACCAAACGATTGTATTAATATTTGAATACTTGAATGAATATTTGAAAATTTTGTTGCGATAGTTGTACACATGAGTTATCCAATCAACTGAAACATACACAATTGCTGAATTCAAGGTCTAAGTAATATATTGTATCGAGGTAAAATCAAAGTCACTGCTTGTTTTGAGCACTGGTGGTGCCATCTTATTTTTTACCATTTGATTTTTCTCATGGCGATTTAGGTAAACCTAACTCCCCTCTATGTTGTAATTTAGAGTACCTCAATATCAGGCTATGATTTGCTGTTGAGAAGCAGTGTTTAGTGAATATTATAGAAGTTAAGCAAATGAAATAACCATACAATCAGGTGTGTATAGTTAGCATTCTCACACTATCTACAAAAGAAGATCAAAGCAAGTGCAAAATGAAAAACTTTTACAAGGTGTGTGTGTGGGGGGGGGGGAGGGGTTGCATTTATTAAATCAGAATCAGTGTTTTATGCGATTCTGGCTAACCACAGCTTTGTGTCACTTTCTTATTCAGACTCGAGCAAAAAAAAAACTTGTTGGTGGTAATATGATTGATTTGGATGAACCTCGATCACAAGTTCAGTGTAAAACAAAAAAAAACTTACTTGTCAAAGGCTCTACAAGTAAAGTGGATTCCAATTTGGCAGCAAAAAAATACAATAAATACACACACATGCATTCAAATTAATTTAACAAAAAACAGCGCAAGTAGACAAATTGTTCAACTCTGAGGGAGTGAGGGTGCATCTAATTATCACAACCATGTGCAAGTGATCATATAAACATTGTAACAACTTATATTGGGATATTCACATGCAGATTAGATGTGGTATAAGTTTTCCCTAGACTAATCAGTGCACATCACAAGAACACCACCCTTATTGGAGTAGAGGGTATGAACAGCAAGCGATTGTACCTGGCAGCAAATAAGAATACTGAAAAATTATTATGTTTTGCAACAGACAACCAAGGTGGTTTCCTGTGAAAATATGTTAATATTTACCAGAAAACTGAACCACATTGTTCATATGCTTATTATTTGAATTTGAAGCTAGTTTTGCAAGAGATTCAGTTTTCATTTTGTAAGACCTTGGAGGAAAAACAGTCATCAGTAAATTGCAGGCAACAATAGTGATTGGATTGGATAAAAATGTATAATATTAATCAGATTGCAGGAAGCACAGTCAAGTAAATAGACAAATTTTGTCTGAAGGAATATTGTTTTGGAACACTGCCATCAACCAATCAATGCAGGATATAGAGTATTAAATGTTCAATAATATTCTATGCACACATTTTTGTCACCCTTCACATATTTTCCTAAAATTTTAATTATAGACAAAATACAAATTTTGGTGAAAAAACTTGCATTCAAAACTGAACAGTCTACACAAGTTGTGAATAATAGTTCACTATTTTGAGCATGTTCATAAATTTTCCAGGAAAAGTTCTAGGAAAATTAAAAGCCATTGAATAATCAATGCATTTACAGTATATCTCTGCCACAGATTAGTTTCTTCCAAAAAAAAAATGAGGTAATAAGCAGCCAGAGAAATAGGAGTGGAGTAGCCATGCCAGCAATTGGTAAAAAATATGTTTCTTACCTGGCATAACAACTAGGGGAAAAAAGGAAAATTTAAGTTAAATTTAATTTTAACTTAATATTGAATTCAATAATATTTTTTTCTTCTTTAACAATATACAAATAAACTGTTTCTGCTGTACTGATCCACTGTTAGTTATTGCTACATCAACTGTCTAGCAGTCGGCTTCACCAAAACAAACAAATAAACAGACAGCATACCTTCTTTCCTGACAAGCTTGTTTACTTCTCCCTGATCCACCAAATTTCTTCATATC